GCTTCCCCGCGTCTGCTGGCTACCTGGCCCGGACCAGATGCTACCCGTGGAGGAAGGCATGTGGGCGGGCACGGGGGTGCCGGGCACAAGCTGAAGGAACTAAGAAAACCACAGCAACACAAATCCTGCTGGCCTGGAGTGATCCCCGAGTCGGTGAACTCAGGGTCAGGAGAGTCTGAGCTCCTACCAGGTGCTCGAGAGGTGGCAGCTTCTCTGGAGTCTTTAGAGTGGGGCACGTGAGGGTGGAGGGCCCCGGCACAGCTCTGCTCAGCAGTCACAGCGTTTACAGAATAAACGCACACACGCCAGCTTTGCGTAGTGGCAGTATCGTAGCCAATGAGGTTTATCCGAGGCGCAATTATTGCTAATAGAATAAACGCACACATATTTTGTACCACTTTTTTTTTTTAATGTCAGAGGGTGTGTGCATTTTCTTGAGAGAGAGAGATGGGGTGTGATCATGCACAATCTCTTCTCCTCCACCTGTTCATCCACATGTGCCTGGGTTTTTCCAGCTGCTGAGGCCAAGATGCAAACCTTGGGGTTCGCATGTGGGATCTGGCTCCCTTACCCACTAGGCCATGGGGCTTGGCCTATCAGGTACACCAGGTACAAATCCAGACTGTCTTCAAGCACTACCTGGTGTCTCCCGGTTAAGCCTGACTCCCTCATTGGCTGCGATGTTTGGTGCCAGCTTCTCCACTCCTCATCTGTAAGTAGGGCTATTGGGCTGGTCTTGGGAACCTGCATTATACCCGATACATAGTAGGTTCTTCTTCTTCTTCTTTTTTTTTTGAGAGGTTTTTGTTACAGGGTGCATGCACTCGCCAGAAAGACAGTCAGAAAGTGAGAAATCACCCCCCAGGGGAGATGGCCACTCTGCAATCCCTTCTCCTCTATTCTCCTCTGGGATTCTGGGCATGCACATACATGTGCCTGGTGTGAGTTTAAGCCACTAGGTCCAGGACTCGAACCGCAGGAGTCCAGCAACATAGCCATTATGCCAACTGCTGGTCCCCATAGTAGGTTCTTAATGTTTTCCCCTTTTCTCCTCCATTCTAACAAAATATCTGATTGCTGTCAAATGCAATGAACGTACTTTATTTCTAATTTTTAAAAATGTTTAATTAAATAATTAGTATTATTATTTTAAAAATTTGACCAGAGAAAAACAGGGAAAATGAAAAAGCAAGCCACTGGGTCCATGACTCAAACCGCAGTCCAGCACCTTAACTATCACGCCATCTGCCAGACCATACGGGCAGGTCATGTGGAGCCATCTCCTTAGGGGAATCCTGTGAGAGTGCAGGTTCTGATTCAGTGGAGTTGGGATAGGGACAGGAACATGCATTCCCAACAAGACCTCAGATGGCACCTACACTGCAGACTGGGGGTCTGTCAGCAAGAATCTGACACTACCCAATTGCACCACTTAACACAGCCTCTACACAAAGCCCTCCAAAGGGCTCTTGTGACTTTGTATTTCTTTAACCAATTAACCCTCCCACTTCAGCTTCCTCTAATCACTGACCCTGCCAAGTGTCCAGCACCAGCGAGGGCAGGAGGGCAGGCCTCACCAATGCATCCTTTGGTCCTGGAGGATTCACAGCACCCTCCTCCAGAAAGATCTTGCAATAGTCTCTCCACCTCCTTTGGCTTTTTGATCTTACCATTTGCCTCTGTTGATAATTACCCTTTAATTAGCACCCACCACCATGTCATCTAATAATTGCAGTAAGTACAGCCGTCATCTCAGACAGCATCTTCAAACAAAATGATTTTTAAAAAAATTATATGCTGTCGATTTGTTAAAAGACAAACTGTCCCAAATAGTCTTTTGCACACCATACACAGTAGAAGACACAGACCCAACTGCCATTCAGATAAGTACAAGCTAAGGAAGAGTTGATTTTATAACAATTAAAATACTGCCTTGGTATTTGGGAAATGGTAAATGTCAGAATAGACATTTGGCAGCCATGCTGAAGTTCACCTTCAGTTCCACTGGGAAAGTTGAAGGGTCTCTGAACCGTTTTTCCTTTATTCGTAGTTACTTGATTATGTTGGAGGGCGCTTGATAACTTCTGGACGCATTTGCAGCAAATTAGCCATTTGTGGAAGAAGGGGCGGGATTTTCACAGAATGCAATTAGCAGTTTTTAATTTCCCATGTGGGTGTGCATTCACCCCTCCCAAACAAGGGCAGTGGAGTCTGATGGACACTCGCCTCTCAGAGGGGGAACTGATCCTGCTACGCTCTTTCCCACTGAAGCCTTAAAAAAACTTTCCAATTTCCTGAACTAGGTAATACACTGACACAGAAAAAAACCTCAAATGGCACGAAAAGGTGTACAACGAAAAATTAACACTCTTGCCTCCCACCATCTGCCACCTACCTCGCTGTCCTCCCTAGAGGCAATCACTGCTTCATTTCTTTAAAATTTTATTATGGAAAATCTTAGGTATACAACTAGAGAAAGTGGTGTGATGAGCGCGTATGTCCACATCACGGTGCCAGCCCTGGCCATCTCGCCAGCTTGAATTATTCCCCGTCCCCCTAGCTTTCATAAGCGTATTCTAAAATAAAACCCAGACAGCAGATCATTTTACCTGTCAAAACTTCAGCATTTTTTTTTTAAACCACAACCACAATACCGCTGTCACAGCCAACAGGGTTAACGATGATAATTCCTAAATCCCACCCAAGATTCTCAGGGTCACTTTGAACCGACAGGGGCAGACGGCGGGAGCCTGGAGAGAAAGGGCTAGAGCGCTGGAGGGGCGCGTTAAAGCACGCAGACCAGCGCTCGCGGCCGCGGCCATCGGGTGCCCGCTTCTTGCCGTCGTTACCTGCGCGGGCCGGGACCAGCCAGGCCACGTCGAGCGCAGCCCGACCCGCCCGCTCCCCGCCTACCCGCTCCCGGACGGCGACCCCAGCAGGCCCGGCGCAGCTGCACAACCCACGGTCCCCAGACACCGGCCGGTCCCTGGAGGGGAAACGATTGACACAGCTGCTTGCACTGTGCCCCCTGCTCACCCCGCGGCACCTGCGTTCCCCGGTGGGGCCGGGAGCTGGTACGGGTC